TTCTTCTAGGATGCCTCAGAAACTTAAAATTTTTAAATGACACTCAATTTCTTTCATTAACTGGCTTGAAGTAACAACAATACAGGTGTGATATTGTAAAGGTTTAGTAGGAAAGACTGACTTTTTATGCCTTACAGCTGGAATTTCCAAAGGTTTTACCTTATTAAGTTCTTTCCGTATCAAGAGCACTTCTCCCATATTTACATCAATAGAAAGGTAGTAATGAGGTATAGTCTGCTTCGATTGCATTAACCTCTGAGCAATCACCTGAAACCAAACAGATTCAAAAATCAATTCTCTTGAAACAAACTGAGACCTTATCTAATTCAGGCCTGTTTGTCTCTTCACTTGGCTCCCTAGTAACACTCACCTCACACAGAGAGGGAAGATAAGGACTGCATCCTGAGTTTGCACCTTCCAGTAGATTTAACTAGAACACTTTATCCCAGTTATTCAACTGAGCAAATCAAACTGCCCTTAAACTAATAATCTAATACTCTCAACCGACAAGGTTCTTTTTTTAAAAAAAAAATATTTTATTTATTATTTTTATTTTATGTGTATGCATGTATTGCCTGCATGTAGGTAAGTGCACCCATGCCATGCAATGCCCGCGGAAGACAGAAGAGGCTGTCGGATCCCCTGGAACTGGAGTTAGGACAGTTGTTAGCTGCCATGTGGGTGCTGGGATTCGAACCTGGGTCTTCTGCAAGAACATCCAGTGTTCTTAACCACTGAGCCATCTCTCCAGCCCCGAAAAGGTTCTTTTTAATGTTTTAAACTATGGACACAATTGGAGTGAAGATGCCCCGCAGCTCTAGTTCTAGATTGTGGTAATGCTCTTACTCGACGGATGTTGCTGATGGGGATATCCGTGAAGACACCTGCAGGAGTAGGACTTGGTGCCACTCGTGGACCTGAGGGAGCCATACCAGCTTCTGGGGCCTAAGAGGAAAAAGAAAAAGTTCTTAGTAACTGGGGCTTAATCTCTGTGCAAACCTGGAAAGGACTGTTAGTGACTACACACACCAAAGTAAAGAGAAAAGTTCTGAAGAATAGCTCTATCCCCAGGGAGCAAAAAGGACTTGGATTACACTGCTTAATGAAGAGCCTTGTTCTTAGGGCTGGAGAGATGACTCAGCGGTCAAGAGCACTGGCTGTTCTTCCAGAGGGCCCAGGTCCGGCCAAGTGCCTGGAACTCTAGTTCCAGAGGTTCCACCCTCTTCTGGCCTCTACATGCATTTGCCCACAGGGGTGCGCTTATATACAAGCACGCGAAACACTCATACACATAAAATAAAAATAAATTTTAAGAAAGGGTTTTTTTTTTAAAGTCTTTTTCTTAATTTTTTTACTTAGAATTCTGAATCACGTTTTAAGTGTCAGCAATTTTTAGGAAGAATACATTCAATGACTACTTAATTGTTAAAGTAAATTATTTTTGCAAAATTATCATAAATTAGTAAGGTAAGCAAGGTATGGTGGTGTATACTTAGAATCCCAGCCCTCAAGATGTTGAGACAACAAAATTTCAAGTTCAAGACCAGCTTGTCTGTTTTCTCAACATCAACTGGGGGGAGGGGAGAGCAAAACATTCTTTTTTTTAAAAATTT